CAGCGGTGTCAATAGATGTGGCTGCTAGAATAAGTTAAAAGCACAATGTGAACATGTTTAATCATCATTTAGCAACAGCTACAGAAAGACAACTGTTAATGAGGATGTTAATTTTTTTTAACAAACATTTTCCACTTTAGAAATAGGGGGAGTGATGTTTTTTCCTCTCCATTACCTAATCTCAGCATTTGTTAATTAGTCAATGCTAATTCTGCTTTCTACTCATTACTGTATCAAACATGTTCAGGCCACGTCAAATGAAAAACAGCATCTTAAATGTCAGCTGTTATTACTTCTTTGAATGCCTGCAAGGCTTAAAATATTTCTATAATTTAAAGAGAAACGTTATCTTGAATCATAAGGATGGTTTTCAGCTACAGACACCTCCTATGCATGTTTTCTGGAGCATTTCTGAAGCATTTAATGTTTGTCTTTTTGCTGATAAAGCACTTTCATGGCCAGTGAAACAAACAGCCTTATGCCGCCAAGGACAAAGCAATTTGCTGAAGCAATAGAAGCATGAAAACACCTTTCTCGGTGTATCTTTATGCATTACATATTAGCTGCTGCCCCTTTAACAGTGAGACTGTCTGTAGTCAGCATTAGTATTCAACTGATGACTGGTTCATTTAAAGTGAAGGATGCCAAGCTGTGTAGCATGCCAATCACTTTCTAATAAAGGCTGTTACTAAACCTGCATGCAAGCATGTGGATCTCAATTATTGGATTCCTAAGGAAAGTTCCCTGCAGGTGCTAATAACTCTCCATAGGTGAGCTAGTGGGACAGCTCGGCAGTGTATGCACTGAATACAATTGAGCAGAAGAAAGGAGTGACCAAATAAGCTAAATTCTGTGGTTGAACATAATGAATGTGATTGTAGAAAGACACAAAACACGCCCAATGATAAAGTGAAATCGTAAATTACTTAATGACTTTTAAGAGTTTATGGAGTCTCATGCTAACAGTCAAAGTGTTTTGTTCGATTTCTGACGGTTTATAATTCTCTCAGGGTTTCGGGCAGCCTAAAGTCACTAATTGGAATTTGTAGATAATTCAAGGGTAATCTGTACAAACCCAACCCAAAGTAGTTATTGGGAGAGGAGCAGGGTCTGCCCATCAAAGGGTAATAGAGAGGCACACAGAACAAACAACTATGTTCGCACTCATATTATCTAACAGATGTATGAACTGGGGGAATATGCAAATGCCAAGCAGAAAGATCCCAGACTGGAATTTGAACTGGTGCTTTTACTATTCCAGAGCAATAAATTATTTTGAGGAATTTTAAGTTTGAATTAGTTATAACTCGTGAGTCAAACGAGTCACTAAATAAATGCTAGAAGAAAATAAGTCTGTGTAACGCATAAATGAAGTTTTTTATGATATTCTAATTTATTATGATGCACATATATATGGTGGTAAACAGATTGGCTAGAAATGGCTCAACATTTCTTACAAAAAGTGTTTTTGTCAACCTTGCTATAAAACATGAAAAAATGAAAAATGAAAAATAATATCTGCAGCTAATACTGCCATACAGCCTTCTGAAAATAGTTTTGCTTTCGTGGCTGCTGTGGGCAGGAGGTGAAATCAATCCTGATTTCTTCCACCTCAGCCCAGTCTAATACATCTGTATCACACTGACATCACAAAGAAGAAAAGGAAAAAAAAAAATAGAAAAGGACAAACATTTTCATGATGAAGCACAAATTTATTACTTCACCATACTTCAGCCTGTTCCAAACTAAGCCTGTTCCTCTTTCAACAATAACTGTCAGCTCAAGACAGAGCATCTCCAGAGAAAAATACTTGGAATGAGAATTGAAAAATCAGTCTAGCGTGTCACCAATATAAATGAACGTATCTGCGTGACTCTGAAAACTGCCCACCTCTGACTTTCCTCTGCTTTTTGTTGTCCCATGAATATATTCATGTAAATTCATTTTGAGGGGATTGTAAGCATTACTCACTGATGACCCGTTTCACTGTTTGCTCATTTCCATAAGTCACAGGGTATCATTTATGGGGTCTATCCAAACTGTAACCCCACATGCTGTATACAAAACGACAACCCTGTGCTTTTAATTTCATGCTTGTAAACCAACAAAGGCTAAAAATAATTGCTCTGGCAATTTCACTGACAAGAGCAGAAAGAAGCGTTTGATAAGTCGCTATGTGTGGATATGAGAGTGTTCTGCAGTAATAGCTGGGCACACTTTGGGAGCTTAAGTGAACCAGAGTCAGGGAGTTATCCCTCCCAATTGTACTTTGTTCCATCAGCAGGACAGACTAGGACCTACAACACACTGACAGAGAGAGCCGAGGTCGCTCTGGATGGCTACTCACACTGTTGTCAAGGGCAAGAAACAAAGCATATGCTCTAAACCGGCTGATACTACCAAGAGAAGCACTCGCAGCAGAAACAATGATTAAATGTCATACATGGGCACATAAGGACCAACTGCAAACAAAGTTGCAAGTAAATACTGCATTAATGCAGGAAAGAATGAAGAAGTAAACAGCCAGTGGGACATTTAATTTCCAGCATCTGTACAATTTCAACAAAAAAATAGACAATAGAAAATATAATTTATGCTGCAGGATTTCACAAAAAGTTTTTTCTAAAAGTCACAAAAAATATAGTCAATGTTCAAGCCACTCAAGTGAGAAGAGACTCATAATGACTGACACAAATAGACCAGAATAATTGTAAATGACCATCAATACAGAGATCTGAGTTTCAGGTAAATTTGATGGCTTTTGTAATCACAACACTGGAAAAGTGACACTTAATAGATTTCAGTGTTGACTCTGAACCATTTCCATCAAGTCTGTTAGACTTTTGCTGCAGGGATTACAACCCAAAGATTAAACCTAAAAAGCATTTCAGCTAAAAGGAGCTCGACCTTAAATGTCTCACAGCCAGAATGTACCTCTGACAGTCCACAAACCGTGATGGATGATAACGTGAGTGGCGAGGCTGAAGCAAACAGTGATGAGGACAATGATCGTCCTTCACCAGGAAGATGAAGAACAATTTCATTTTTTACCATCACTGTAAGTCCAATCATTCATCCAAATCAACAAAAAATGATTTCACTAGAAGAAGATTAAACCTTTGGAGTCATGTAGCCTGAGTGCAGGGCTAAAGCTGACAGAAAATCTATGAGATCACATGAAGAAAGCTTTGGACAAGAGATGTCCTCGCAATTTAAAAGGCCTAGAGATCTTTTGCAGGGAAGAGTGGGCATAAATTATTACTTCGAGATGAGGGTTGCTGATAGTCTCAGACCAAAGACTGCAGAATGTACCTTCTTAAATGTTTATTATTTTCAAGCAACTGCAAATTTTGTTTATTTTTCCAGTATTTGAAATATATCAGATTAGAGGTAGAAAAAGTTTGGAAATGATTCATCATAGACACAATTGAGGAAGTCTCAAAAACACAATCTTAGCACCTTTCTGTCCACTGTAAAGAACCACTGAATGTGACACAGCAAAACCACAGTCATAAAAATGACATACAAATCTACTGTGAGATCCATTAGGCTCCCAGCAAACTGCATAAACAGTAACAAATGCTTTGCCAACATTCTTCGAAGTTGTGGGAGATGATGTATTTCCCAGCAGGAAACACAGTGGCTACTTTAAAATCAAATCTGGCCATTACACTCGTCTGCTCCCAGGTTTTTTTTTTTTTTTTGACAAATTATCCATAAATCCATACAGAGTTCTTACAGGTTTGTGTGTTTTATTGCAGCTGTTAGGAATACATATAAATCCAACTGAAGAACCAACATGAATACAAATATAGCAAAAGCATGGCTAGCACTTTTAGCACAGTAGCCGTGCTTACGCTGTGATCTGCTTGTCTTATAAACAAGACCATGGAGTGACAACATCTTGCCATTTACCTTGGCCCTAACTACAAATAATCAAGAGAATAATGTTGTACTTCTCTTTATGCATTCAAGGGTTTCTATTTTTTTTTAATATATTTATAGTTAGAAGCTTGCATCAGGGTCCTAAAAGAGATATGACAGAGGATAGCGATCAAGTCAATTTCAAATTTCTCTTCAGGAGTTTATAATTAACCTTTCACCCTTTCTTATTTGGGTTTTTGACTGAAAATTGTTTGGAGTTTTAAAGATATACTGCACACTATGTGTGCCACTGGTTTAATGAAGTACAAGCCATCCAAAATACAAAAGTAGTTTTAATGTGAACTTTTTCTCAATTCTTTTTTTTTTTAAATGTGGCCAGTAATGAGCTACACAAAACTCAAGCCTAATATGTCTCTATTTCTCTTCGGCTATCTCACAGCTTGTGACCAAATGCAAGTGAAATCTATAGTCTGAAGCCACAAAAAGAAATAAATAATACAAAAAGAATTGGTGGCAGGCACCCCAGAAAAGAAAGAGAGTGGGGTAAATCCAGCAGTGCATTTTGGAGATGGGAGTAGCTTCTCATCAGTAGGAGACCACAATGTTTGCAGAAAAAGAGAAGATGGATATTTCAGATTGGTCCTTAGTGGAGCTATGGCTGTGCATGATTTAATTGGGCCAAACATGTTTCAGTGTGATCACCAAAGGCTGGAAAGGGAAAAGTGTGAGGCACAGGGAAGGGAAGAGAACAAACATACACTGTATATGCAAAAAATCTGTGAGAATTTGGCTTCAGGGCTGTAAGGACTCTGTAAGAAAAGGCTGCTACAGAAGCATGGCTTGTGTAGAGGCGGAGAAAAGAATAGAAAAAAAGGGAACAATCTTTTAAGACTCAGCTGAAAGGATGGACCAGTGCTTTACAACAAGATGATGCTCGTTTGTAAATGTGAATTCAGATGGGAGAGCCTGAACGACAACCTGAATGGTGTGAGTCCACTTGGTAAAACAAGAAGAGAAGAATTCCCAGAAATATATTTATTATGATTATAAATATATTGGACCCACTAAAGGCAAAATTAGTCATATATGTCTTGTAGTGTTTGCTGTTGAATTACCTGTTCTCATTTCGTTGTGTGTATCTCGGCTGGGGGTCAGCATCTCCATCATTAACATCGTAGCTTGCCTCAGGGTCCTAAAAGAGACACGAAAGAGAATAGCAATCAAGCCATTTCAAATTTCTCTACAGGAGTTTATAATTAACCTTCTACTCCTTTCTATTTGGATTTTTGACTGAAAATTGATTGGATTTATGAAGGAAGTTGCATTCTACACACTGAGCACAGTGTGTCATCCACTTCACTTTTTATTCGCTAATCAAATTCTTTCATATAGTGCTATTGTAGCTTAAAGCAACTGTAATCAAGTACAGAAGCAAAGCTTAAAGGAACACACTAAAAAGCAAGAAAACAGATTGTCCTTGCAAAAGTTCAAAACGTGTAAAGTTTAACTGATATAGTTACAAATATGAAGGCTTTTTATTGACAATAGTGACAAAGTGGTGCATAACTAAAGTGGAAGAAAACTGTTCAGAAGCTGAAAAGATCAACAGCTCATGTTGAGGAACCAGCTGGCCAACGAACAGCCATTGACTCCACAAATCAGAATGTGGTGTGTTAATATGTGTTGGAAAAAAAATATATATATTATTTAAAAGAAAAAAAAAGAATTTTAAGGTTTACCAAAAGCCATAAAAGAAACCAGAAACACAAGGAACAAGATGTTCTGGTCAAAATAAAAAACTCCTGAAATAAAACCAGAAGAAGCTGCAGAAGATTTTAAACTGTGCCAGAGATTCACCTTGCAGCATGACCCTGAAAAAGCAACTTGATTGAATTGAATTGCTTAAGTAAAGTATATTTACAAGTGCATTGCAAAGAATTAAGATATTGTAAAAAAAATCATTTTTTTAAAACTAATTTCAGAAAACTCAATAGTCATAAAGATCCATTATGAATTCAGTGAAATATTTCAAGCCTTTATTTCTTGTAATTGCTATGATTCTCACAGACACCAAAGCCTCCTGAAATCTGCCTGAAAAATATTGAATCTTATCTAATATCATTACAAGGAAATTGTAATCTGAAAGGTCAGGCTTTTAAAATGTAGGTCCATGGATTCAATAGGTGTGACCTCTTTTTGCATGAATAACTGCATCAATAGCACAAAACAGAATAAAGAAGAATAAAGGGATAGAACAGAACAGAGGTATCTCTTAATGTTTTTTAGTGTGGAATCTCTCAGGTGTGCAAGCAGCAAAGTGAAGGAAAATGGAAGTATATTGATTCACTCAAACATGCCCCCCAATACAAGAAAAAAAAATAAAATCAAAACAATGTTCAGCTATTAAAATAAGCATTCTTAGGTTGAAAGAAATGTGCAACTCAGTGGGATAATTTAATTAAAAAGTACAAAAGAAGATTTACAAAAATAGAAAAACTGCCATAACATCTGTTATGGCAGCCATAACTGATTGTGCTACTTGTGTAGCATAATCTCAAGTAGACCTGTGATTGTACTACCTTGTGCAGGTAGGATGCATCAGTCTGTCATTGAAGGAACTCCTCAATTCTGCAACATCGTTCCTCTGCTACACCTGCAAGCTGCTTCTCTGTAGTAATCAAATTATTCCCTGCTCCTGTTTTCCTAGGTGCAGATGCACAGATCTCCAGCATTTCTTTTCTGCCTGATCACAAGCATGCTACTTTTTCTGTTTTTTCTTGTTTTAATCTTGTAGGATACCTCACTCACTTCTGTTTTCTTGACACCAATCTTATGTCTCATGCCTGATCCACAGATCTGTTTGTCTGCCTGACCCTGGATTGTTCAACGGATCTGCCTCTCACCTCAGTGAGATCTAATATTGGGGTAAAAGATGCCTGTTCCACTCAACGCTGTGGCTGTTGAAACATCACCACACTCCCATCTTACTTTATCTAGGAGCTAAAGGCTGCTGCTCATTATCCCAATCCCTTGCCTGGTCTCTGAAAAGGTTAGTGGCTCACTTTTCTGAGTTTTCTGCTTGTCACTGGATCTTCAGCAGCCACTAACCCATGTTTTCTTTTTCCAATTCCCCTGAGAGTTTCTCCAGGAGTTTCTTGTTCTTCACCAGAAAACTTTTTAATAAATCTTTGAAGCTACAATTAAATTTTGGTTCCTCAAACTTGATCTGTTAAAATTGAAGACATCTACATTGTTGGATTTGGTGTCTCCCATCTTCATTTTCACAAAATCCCAGAAATTCTTCATGGGGTTCAGGTGAGGAAGGTTTGCTGACCAATACAGAACATTAAACATCACTGTCAATCAATTTGTTTAGGTACATTTGGCAATGTGGACATATGCTAAGTCCTCCTATAAAAGGAAAAAAAAGCATCTTCTCCATAATGCTTGTCAGCAGAAATAAGTTCTTTAAAATGTTCTTGTTGGTGGCTGAATTGACTGTAGACTTCAGGGAACAGCAACACCAGCAGATAAGACCCCAAACCATCACTGACTGTGGAAACGTCACACTGGACATTAAGCACCATACATTCTGTGCCTCTCCATGGTTCCTCCAGAGTCTGGGATCTTGATTTGCAAGTAAAATGTAAATTTAACTTTCAAGAGTCAAGAGGACATGGATCACTGAGGAACAGCCCAGGAAAGATACTGCTGCAATTATCTGCATTAACATGACAAATGCAACATTTGTAGTTCCCTTGAAGGATGCATCTCTGTGTAGTGACTTTTTCTGAATTTCTCCTAAATTCTTAAACTGACTTGTGGTAGGGGAGACTTCTCCCACTCAACTTTCTATGAATATAAGTGGTTTTTCAATATTCACATTTTCAAAAAATTATAAGTTTCCATTATCTGAAAGTCATAACCACCAAAATTACAACAAAGGCTGTAAATACATTCAAGGAATCCGTGAGTTTAACTTTCTGAAATGAGTGATTAAAAACATTCAGATATTTGAATGTACTGTTGTATGTTAGAATGATCCAAGCATAACTGAAAATCAGTGGCAAAATTTGAAAATTTATTCTGAGTTTGGGCCATTTTGCAAAGAAACACATCTTGAGATGTGCAAAGCTTGTAGAGGAATACCTTAAGAGACTTGCAGCTGAAAAAGCAACATAATTGGGTTTTACAATGTATTGATTGGGAGTTGGATAATGAAGAATTTTGTTCCCATTTATGATTCTGAGCCACTTTGTGTTGGTCCAACTCACACAAAAAAACCCTAAAAGGGGTATGAATACATTTGTGAGGTACCTTTTGTAAAACCAATTAGCTATACAGCAATATGTGTAAATATAAAGCCAACAAGGCAAAAGAAAAAAATACAGGAAAAGCATTTCACTATTGTGCTCCCACACTAAGAAGCTTGATCCACATGAAAGGATTCAAAAAGCTGCAAACTCCCATCCTCCCAGTCAGGCTTAAAAAGTCTGGGAGGAAGAAATCCTTTGCCCTGCTGTGAGCATTGACTTATGGTGTAGTGATAGGAAATGAGATTTTTAATGTAGGGTGAAAACTGGCCATTAAAGGCTTTATATGTGATAAGTAGATTGTCATAGGGAGACAAATTGGGGATGCTAGCACAGGAGATATGTGATCACTCCAGAATCAGTCAATCCGTTGGTTGGGCAACTTTGAGCCTGTTGTGTGGTATTTAGGGAAATAATTGGTCCCACAGCTCGAGCAGAATTTCAGTTGTCCAAAGTAGAATAAACAAAGGCATCGACTAGTTTCCATGGATCAAATTTGGACATTTTTAATTACTGAAGTTATGTGTGGGAAAAAAAAATCAATAGATAGATGGGTCAAATTCATTTAACAATTGTTCCACTTGTTTGAAAAATATTTAATAAATCATATCTAACATCAAACAAAGCACTATTGTTTCAGTTCTGTTGACTTAAATTTTACCATGTAAAGACTTGGATGTTTATGTCTGTGTTGGAAGCAGAAAGGGGGCTCTACCCAGGGACCTATTTAGGTAACAATCACCCCTGCTCGCCCTGTCAGCAGAACACTGAATATTAACAACAATGTTTAAGCACTTTCATGCACTTCATGTCTAAAAATAGTTTATGCTCACTTGTCCAGTGACTTTTTGCTTTTCCTAATTTATGTCACTGCATAAATTCAACTAAGATGTTTGCTTATGCAACAAGCTCCCTACAGCTGTGAATTGTTATCACCAATATACATTTTGTAAACTAAAGCTTTTGCAAAGTGTTGCCTTTTTGCTGACAATCTGGAGCTTATATAACAACAGCCTCCAACTGAGGCAGTAGAAAGGGCAGCTTCATGACACTGAAAATATGTGTTGCTCACCCGTTAATCTTACATGTCTAGCAATACACAGGGGCGTAAACACTCATACTGAAAATAAATTAAACATGGCTGTAACATATGAAATTAATATTATAAATAATGAATGTTTAAACCCTAAGGTCACGAATACAAAAAATTTGACTTTCAGATCTCACAAACCAACAGTAGTGTTTTCTGATTTCAGTTCTGTTTATGAAATTAGAGGATTGTTGTGAACTTCTTTATCTGAGTACATTGTAATAACTGATTTGGGACAAACTAAGCTGCAGTTGCACCTGGTGCATCTAACATTTTTAACTTACATAATTGCTGTGGAGGTCAGGATGGTCCTTTTCAATCCCATCATCCAAAATGGTCACCACTACACCTCTCCCAGTGTAGCCTTGAGCCCAGGCTGCTTTCGTATTCAAGTCTTGATGTGTTGGATTGGACTGAAATAAACAAAAGCCTTTTGTTTAGGTGTCTATTTGCTTTTAGCCACACTTCTCAAACAAAAACCAGCAGAAAGTGTTTGTCAGCGACATAAAAGCTCAATTCATCTCCAAAAAACCCTTTATTTGGATCATTGAAAAAACAGCAATATTTAACATGAAAGTACAAAATGGAAAAAAAAAAAAAAAAGAAAGACATCTTGGTGCAGTTCAGCAATCCTTTTGAAAGTATTTAGCTCTTCATATAAATAACAGTCTGTGAGCTTTTGAGTGGAAATAAAGGGACACAAAAAGGGGTTAGAGAATGGTTGCTGAAAGTCATACAGTGAGAGGTATAAGGGAAAGTAAGCACTGTAGGTGGAAGAGGTGGTTAAAGATAGACTCACACTCAGAGAATAGAAAACACCCTCCTAAAACTACACTGTTCGGAGCCAGGCTTTGTTTGTAGAGTTCATATAAGTCTTTTATTTAATCATTTCATTTTCAAGCGATCGTATCACGTTGGTGGTATAAAGACATATGGAGTATATGAGGCAATACTCAATATTGGGTTTGGAGAATATTGGGGGAATGAGGAAAAATAAGACATAGTGAATATTTTTGGTAAAAGTAAGAAACACATAATCTTAGAGTCAACTTGGTCAGCCTCCAGTGATTATATCACTGTAAATATCTCAGTTGGTTAATGTTTAATCTGCTCTGCGTGTTATTTCTATTCGTGTGTAGGATCGTAGTGCAAGAAGACATTTTGACTACTCAAATCACATTATCTGTTTTTCTACATCAATGTCGCCAGTTTACTTGGTAGAGACATTTAAGACAAGGTGATTTAAAAAATGATTCATAATTGCAACCACTATCAAAAAATCACTGCTTTAAAACTTGTTTGACAACATAAAATTGGCCAAAGGATAATGGAATGCAACACATTATGTTTCCAACTCAAGAAACTAAAGAGAGAAAAAAGTCTCCAAGACCGCATTAATGATTCACGTAGAAATGTAGAAAAAAAAATATATATATATCCAATGCACTGCAGGACCTGCTTCAGGTTAAGGTCAGTGCTTTAACAGTCTGCTGAAAAATGACATTCACAGGAGGTCAAAAAGGCCAAACCTCTTCAAATCAAAAAGGAAAAAATGCCTGTCTCACATTTCACAAACAATATTGTGATGGTCTCCTGAATTTTATTTGAAATATGTGGAAAGCACTACATCTGCAATAAAATCAACACAGCAGTCAGACATGTGATAATAGAGTGATGGTCTGCTAGGCCTGGGCAATAATAACCAGATGATGCAATAGATAGGTGATTGGTACTAATAGAAAACTGATATGAGATCAATATCAATAGAAAATACAGTCAATAAAATGTTCAATAAATTTATTGAAGTCCGATCCAGAACCACACAGAATTCTTGAGGATGTAGGCAGAGGAAAGACTTTAGTTTCTATGTTGTGAGCTTTAACAGGCAGCAGTAGGTCCAAAATCCTCAAATATGACATTAATAAATCAATTCTTCAAAGCCAAGTGGGCTAAAAAACCTACTCAGAGACTGATTGCTGGTTATTGCAAATGCTTTATGGCAGTCATTTTCACCAACCAACTCTTTAGGTTGGAGACAGTTAATCTTCAAATAGCGCACATTTGGTCTGGATATCTTTGTAAATTGAGAAATGGGCTCACCAGAAAACTGTTCATTTTTTTTTTTTTTTTTGCATTTGCTCTGTTACCTTTGTCTGATATCCACATTTGATTGATTATCTGAAACATTTAATTAATAAAGCAAAAAATCTGCAAGAGAGGAAAATGTTGCTTCACAGCACTGAATCAAAACACTCATATAAAATAACTCACTATTGTAAAATTGTTGTTATGCCAACACAGCTATAGTGGCTCTGTGGCATGTGGCTCAGACTAAGGAAGCTTTATTATCCTCTTATTTCTGAAGTCACAGTTGGATAGAATATTTTGAAAGGAAAAGCAAGTTAAGACAGTCAGACATTTTAAAGTCTAATGCTAAATGTCAGAAGCAGTTTCATGTCTTCCGTTCGCTGTTGTCTTGTGCCATGTTTGGTCTGCTGCAGTGACAGCAGTTTAAGGTAAATGGACAGGAACAAAAAGGAGAGATTTGGGGGATAATTGGAGCATTTCTAAGAAGGGCTGTGAGTAATAAAAAGATATAGCACCAGCAGCAAACAGTATTAATGTTTTACAGGTGATACATACACAGTCAACATCCCAAGATGTTAGAAATTATACGCTTCACCCCCAAACTCTTGCCATGATCAAGATGACAGATGAATGGGTGAGCTTAATCTACACCAGGACAATTTCTGATTTGCTGACTGATGACAAGGATTCATAAAATTCAAATACAAAGCATTTTATAAATAAATGTACACATCTCTATTATTTAGTCTTCATACTTTATACCTAGATTTATTTGTTGATAGTACTGGACTTCAGTGATGTTAGAAGCATATACCTATATACAGTACTAATATAGCGACATATATTTAAATGAGAAGGGAGGCCAGAACTTACCAGGTACCACTGCTTGGAAAAATCTGGGTCGGTGGGGTCTTCAAAGATATCTCTCTTCTTTCTTCTTTTCATCACTTGCTGTTCCGCCCACAGGACCTGGAGTGTCCAGACGCACAAACACACACAAACAAAAATAAATAAACCCACGCACAAAGGAAAATTCCCAGTAACTGCTGCCCTCACATCATATTTGTTTTTTACTAATGTTCCTGTTTCAGATGTGATTGCAGTGTCAAACAAGACTAGAGACAAGCGAAAAACATGGTCCCAACTGGGCTCAGAAAGTAATAACTAAACAGAAAAGCAGGGATGTAGAGAAAATCGGATTTACTTCAGTGCTCAGATTCCAGAAGAACAGTGACTCCTGCACTGTTTTGTGTTCTTTAAAGAATAGCCAGTGCATTCTACATATCATATAAATAATACTTGTGGTGAAACATGGTTAAATTAATTTATAGTTCACATACATTGATCATAGGCATTTATATAATTTTGGTGTATGAAAAAAATAATTCAAATCAGTTTATTTATTGTATAACAAACTACTTCAATGAAATTTAAATTTGAAGTTACTATGGATAATCTCTAAGACATAGTCAAAATTAAATATGCAAATATTTATAGATGCCCTCACTAATATTTGCTTTAAAGTCACCAAGTTTTACCTTAACCACACATTTTTATATCAATTAACACACCTGTGGCATGATTCTGGGTTGATTTTCACATTTTATTTTTGCAGGTAGAGTTAATTTAAAATCTTTTGTAGATTTTTAAAAGCTTAAAGTTTGTCTGCTTTGTCTATTCCAAAGATCCTGCTGCATTTTTGCGATCATTGTCCTGCAGGAATTTAAGGTTGTGTCAAAGTTTGATTTATCTGCTTCAATCTTAAAAATTAAAAAATGACACCATCTTCAAAAATAAAACTTTAAAAATGACACCATCAAGAACCACTAAGTTTGCAGCTGCCTTTATGAACCAGCCACCTGCCTTCTAGAAGACAAAATCTTTTGCTAACCACAAAGATTAAGAAATTCGGCCACTGTTGGAAGAATATTTGAATGAGTTTCAGCTAAGGTTTGAAACTTAAGAAGCCCATACAATGCAAACTATTGCTTGCAGTATTGTGTGGGTCTATGTATTGTAAAACCGTTAAATTGCATAAAGTTAGTGAAATAATGAAAACGGAGGACTACCTCTGAATTCTGGAATGCTTCAAATCAATAACCAATGGCCAATGACCAACAGATTATAATGTATGGCTACAAACACACATTAAAATTGATTTAGGAAGGAATAACAAAAACAAAACTTATGCTTATGGAGAGGTTCCAACATCAAGACTATTCAAAAAGTATGTACTGTGCTTAAAACTTAGGTTCATGCCAGGAACCAACTAATTTAAATTAACTTCAACATGCTGATTAAAGGAGTGGTAAAAAAAACACCCAGAATTAAGCAACCACTTTATTAAAGGCTACAAAGAATGAATAATTGTGTCAAGGACTCACTACTATCTAAGGGACATTTACTCAGAGTGGTCATCTCCATATAATTGAGCCAGCATGAATAATTTAGTCTTTTCACCCATTAGAAAAATCCACAATTTTAACTCATTCATCCAAGTATTGTTTTTAAAATGCATTTTGCACAAGTGAAATGCAATCAGTTTTGAATATATGTGTTTGTATTGATATTATTATTCCATAAACAAAAAAGTCAAATCAAGCAATAAGAGAATGGAATGAAGTTAACCTTCATTAGTTTATGCAACCTTCTGAAAGAATCAGCAGGTGAAACAGATGGGTCTTTTAAATCCTTGCTGTAAAACTATTCAGTCTGAAAACAGAACAAATTGTATCCTTAGAACCAAATGATTTAAAATATTTAAGAACAGAGAAAAAAAGCACCCTGAGGTCCAGGGCAAGGACAAAGACTTGACATACACCAGCGCACAAAGCAGCAATCATAAAAGAAGAGGGAGGTCTCAGCATGGGTTAGGAGGGCAATTTGCATGAGCAATAACATTTTTCTTTTATTTTTGCCAAGTGTCCTGAGGATGTTTACCGTTTGATTACTAAGAAGGGATCATGCTGGTATTGTTTGTAATAGAAATAGATTGGAAACAACAGAGCTGAGGTTTTCATTTGTAGCTGAAGTACTGTGTTAGAAGGGGGAAACAAAAAACATTCACCAGCAGTTTTACCCACAAAATGGACCTCACTAAAAGTGAGATGACAGTAAGTGAGAGGAGTAAATTTTGTGAACAGATTGTTAGTCCATCAGACAGAAGACAACCATTTATACTCATATACACATCTATGATCAATTTAGATAAACTGGATTCTCAATATACACACAGTATTGGTGGCAGATGTAATGGTGAGTGTGTGTACATGTGTACGTATACTTAGTCACCAGTTAGAAAAGGGATCCAGTGTATTATAGACTTTAGACATCTTCAGAATTTTTTCTGAAGCCTCACCTGTTTCTGTGAGTCATGTTCTGTGCAGGCCTAAGCAACACTCCAGCTAAACCCAATTAGGGCTTCAGTTGTCTGATTATTTCTATTTTTTTCTATATTTTTATATTTGGGCAATCTTTGGAAATCTGTTAATTTTGTTGATGACATTAAAAACCAGGTACAAGTTTTTAATGTACCTGGAATCTGACTCTTCAGATGCATCTTTTCTGACTTGTACAATTTATTTCTGGTCCATGGCCCTAAGAACTAAGAGGCCATTCTAGCGACAACCACAGCATTGGTGAAGAAGGAAGCTGTTAAAAAGAAAATATTTTTTTTCTACTGAGGCATGTCAACTGTTCACTCAGGCTGCAACAACTTAGAACTAGATTTCACTGGGTGTGTAATTTGAGGCACTTTGTACCCAACCTTTTCAAATGTACAAAAAGGAAAGTGTCTTTCACAAGAAGTATATTCTTAACACCATGGAGAAATTTTGTCAAATTGGGAAAGCAGCAAATCGACTTAAAAACAGACCTCATGAAAGTAAAATGTTCGTTTTTGTGGCACATCTTTAACTTATTTTGAAGGGATATGTAAACCTTACCATAGCGACCAGAGTCAGAGGGCGTTATGGCAGTGGGAAAGATGAGATGAGAGGAGTGGAACTTGTGAGTTTTAGTAAGGTAAGGTTCACACGACATGATTTAAGGATTGTTGGTAGATTTTCCAAACTTCTGTGACCACAGAGCTGATAAACGCCCAACAGGTTCGATCGGTTCGTGTGTCCAATTCCACTCACAAACATCCCGATTCCAGAAGAAAATCTGGTAAAACCCCCAACATACCATTCGCAAATTTAGAATAATCAAACATGGATAACACGTAGAAGTTATCCATTTATTGCTTAAAATGAGTTTGTGGACTCATTTTAAGCAATAAAAGATGTAACATAAAGAAAACTCATTTGAGAAAAGACGGTGGGAGTAGCCACTCTATTTGCTGCACTGTGATTTGGAGGTGAGTTATGTTTTTTTGTAGTTAACATTTTTAACTGAATAAACATTTCCACATATCACCTCCGATGTCCACTGGACTCAGTTGCCACATCAACTGTTTGGGATTCTCCTCTGTTCTTATGTCACTGCACTTTTTGATTGACTGCCTGTCACATTCAACAGGCTGCGTTCTCGCTCCCAGTGGTGGAAAACCCCACACTCTGCGACAATCGGCCCGAATGTAAAACCAATTAACACACTACAGGATGTTGTAAGGTTGTCGTAAAGAGAGGGGGCGGTGATCCCCCACCCTGACCGCAGCAAAATTGCCAAGTCTTCACCGGTCCGCAGTAATAAAAAGGTTGGGGACCACTGGTTTAAAATAACAGTTTTGCACAAATTCTAATGTATAATTTTACCTCTACTATCAACATATGTAAATTAATTAAACTTCATGGTAGGAAGACAAGAAAAAAATAATTTAACACTCTTAAAAATTCTCTTAAAAGCTTCACATGACACAGAGGCTTCAAATGGTAGTACTTTAAAAATGAATTTAAAAATCCCCCCATTACGATTCCAAACTTCTTTACTCTCTGTTTTGTAGAGTTCTCAATCATTTTAAAGCTCAATTATGAATATAAACATTCACAATGGCTTTATGGAAGATATTTGTAGAATGATCAGGTTTTAAATATACAAGTTGGATCAAAACAGGTATGGACAGACAGATTTTGCCAGAATGCATAAGAACCCTATTTAAAAAACGTAAAAGGCATTTTTGATCATTCACCAAGGTAGGCTCACTTTGACCTTAACCAATACAAGAAAGACTAATAAATTATCTCCTGAGCTAAATCCTCATTTATTGGCTGAAAAGGTCTATTGAGCACTGAACATCAAGGTCAGATGAGTCTTATTTGTTTTAATTAGTTTTTAAACTATCAAAAGTCATCAAAGGGGAGAATGGGGCCACTTAATGTGTACAGAATGTACACTCAGCCTTCCTTTATTGTTTAACCACTGTTTTCCTTGCTGCCCACTAACTTTTTCATACAATGTTCTGTGTTTATGAGAAGTATTGTCATCTGCGAATAGTTCATAATGAAGGATTTATATCATTAGCACTCAATATCACAAATGACTTGAGAAATTGAAAAAGTTGAGCGATAAACTATAATGTGATTAGAACTTTCTAATGAAGAAATTTTTACTTTTCCCATTAGATTTTCTGGTAATAACCAAGATAGAATATCACCATCCATATTGACTATATTGCAGAGAATAAAAATATGTAACTCTTGGAGTCAGATACACATTGTTGAAAAGATTAAAGAGAAGAGAGGAAAGAGCAAGAAAGAGTCGTGTAAATATTCCCTAAAACACTGCATGCAATAAACTATACTAGATTAGATTTCATGCAAAACAAATAGCAGTAAACCAAAAACAAATCAATTCTTTCCCTCATAGGATGGAAGGGTTTGCAGAGCAAAGATGACAAATGACCCTTACAGACATAATGGTAAAAGCTTATGCAACTGCCAATGTCATCTTGCCACTGCGTGATAATTCAAAGGGGACGGTGATAAGCGGCATGCTCGTACCACAGAACCAGAGGAAAGGAGACAATGGTGGTTTCGTGAAATGCAGCCTCTGGATTAGGAGGAGGAAACAGCGTAACGAGCTCAAAGCTTAGCAATGACTAATCCAAATCCAACCTTTCTGTTCCTATTGCCTTCTAAATCTGTTTTCTTAAACCACATGAAGCATAACCTTTTATTCTTTCTTACTCTGTGGATTAGATAGTTGCAACTCAAATGAATATACAGATGGACTTAAATAAACATGGAAGCACAATCCCACTCACCTATGCCATGGAGTTGGTTTTGTTGGCAGCAGCCATGCTTTGCCAGAGGTTTTCTCAGTTTTTTGGTTGTGTAGGTGTGGAAGTAAATCTGGTGCAAGTTGTTGTTTTTCAGCCAAAAACCTAATCCCCTCAACAGATCAGAGTTCAACTACTGAGTTATAGAAACTTGAACTACTGACTTCCGATATGGAATCTCCATTATAAAAAAATATTTTTTATCACTTGAGGCTTTAAATTGGCAGCTTTATAACATGTTCCACTTCTGAATGAGATGCTTTTATTTCGCTTTTCAAAATAAACAGTTTTAACTATAACATTTCTGAGTGCATCTTGTTGATGAATTCCGGTCCATGGCGGATATTAGCAGCAGAAAACCATCAACTATTAATCGAGCCTGTAATCTCAGCAGCAATTTGGTCTTTGTTCACTGTGCATTTCGTCATTTGCTGAAGCAAAGCGATCTATAATTGAGTATTGCACATCATTAGTCCCTTTCTAGTGACAATGACAAAATGTTTGCATCTGCCAGCACCCTTGCTAAACCTCATTGATTTCTCATTGTAGGTCTGTTGAAAACAGATAGTATAATCACATTGCGATGGTGCTCTAGCAGCTTACTAGAACACCATAGCATATGGTAAGTGAAAGTTCAGTGAGATTTCAATTCAACTCTTGACTACTGCCCACAGTAAATGTCACCGTATCTCAGTAATAAGCCTTAAAGCCTTGGTGCTTGTCAGAGTACATGAGTGCTTTCCTCAGGCTTCAAGAAAGGGGATCAAAATAACTAAAGAAAAATCCTTTAGCCACCACTTGGGAGATCTATTTAAGTACAGATGGGAAACCTCAGATCTCATTTGGTACGTATTCAGGTTTTCATCAGTAGTCAGGTGCTGCCTGAAATATATTTTAGATGAGCAATTGTCATTGCTGTTTCCCTCTTTTTACATGTAAAAATGGCAGCGGCGTGAGGGGTGTAGTTCCCTGCCAGCAACACTGACTAAACAGGATAGGTAAGGCAGATGTGTGGACAGAAGCTAATAATGCAGCACCCTGGGATGAGTGGAATTTGAATTTATTAGCATCAGTTTGTGTTTTGGGCAGTGACCCAGAGAGATGAGGGTGAGGGTACTGTATGTTACTTGAAAGCACAAAAGCATTTTTTTAAGTAGGAAAAAAAAAGACAATCGAAACTCAACCTGGCTTTTTTCTTATTTGCTATATTTATATATCTACAAAGGAACAGGGCAGGAACAGCATATGGCCCGAAGTCTGTCTGGGTCAGTAGCGTTTGTGGGGGTGGGGATGATTGTAGCGTCTTGGGGTCCTGCTGTTTTTTGTTATTTTCCTCCTTTGTATTCTCACAACCCACACTGGGCATGGTTGGCCTAGTGTGGTTGGCCATCTTGCTTCCCAACAGGGGAAGCAAGATGAAATATCTGTGCAGCAAGTATGTCTACTATTTTCTCTCTCTTTTTTTTTTTTTTTAGGTTCAGTGTTATATAACACTGACTTTTTTTGAAGTTTTATATCATTCTATAATGTTATTCCCTCATCAAAACCATACCTGGAGTGTTGCTTTGATTATTTTATTGATGTTTGAAAAATCCTTGAATCTCCCATGGCAGCCTAAATATCTGCACTCTCCACAAAGCTCTTCGTTGGAGCTGCAGTCTCCAGTTGCCTCAAAGAGCAACAACCCCTTCCCTAATCAACAGAAATTAGCTAATACCTGGTGAAACTATGCATTTACTGAGTGTTTAATTTGATTGTTGTTTACAATGGCACCATGTGCCTGAAAAATAAATACCACCTTTTACTTAAATATTTAGTTTCTACTCACCTTCATATTCAGATATATTTCTTTTCTTTGCTAACGGAATACTGTATTTGTACTTTCATTGTCCACTTGTTTGAAAATATATATTCCATTTAGCAGGTAAAAACAGTCAGTATTGTTCTTTGCAGTTCTCCTATATTTTACTCAAAGCAGACTTTTCTAACCTGGGTCCCAAGTTCAGGAGTAAGTTTGCAGTTTTAATAACTATATACAAACTGATTTACACAAAGATATAAACGAATGCTATTTGAAGTATTTTGCTCCATATTAGGCAGTGGACATGTGAATCCATTCAAGAATGTATGTGGTTTTACTGATTGCTTTTTTTTAAAAGCTGACCTCCTGACCAGCAACATGTTACCTTTGTGAAAAAAAAGGACAAAAGTAAAATAAACTAAAAGACAAACTTGATCGTCATATATTGTTGCCAAGATTTTTGCTTTAATGTTTAGCAGTAAAGCAAAAACCAAAGTATTTGCTTTAATTAACATTTTCTCTTAAAGTGCCTTGAAAAAGTATTCATACCATTTTAATTTTCTAACAATCTGGTATCTTATAACAGCTTTCTAAGCAGTTTATCTAATACAACAAAAATGTATACACAGAATGGCAAATGTCATTCTCCAGGTTCTACTCATTCCGATATTGATATACTGTACTTTCATGGTGCAGAGAAACTTTCAACCTGAGTTACCTGAGTAAATTAAAATTTTTTTGACCTGTACAAATTTCCAGACTTCACTAAAAAAAGGGAAGAAGCACAGCTGATGGTCTAATGTGGTTCAAGCAAGTAGGGGAAGCAGGAGGCGTTTAGTTGATTCCAATCTTCACAACATACAAGCACTATTATCCCACCTGTAAAGAGATCTACACTTATGCAGCTCATTAAAAATCTAATTAGCATTCAAACTGAAGAATGTTAATAGCAAGGCCACGTAGCCAATTTAAAAAGCACTTTTTTTCTAATAGGAATCTTAATTACTTGGTTCTCAACACTGATGTTAAGTGCTATTAAACACTTCATTATTTACATTTGATTTCTGTGTACTGCCTTGTTTTGAGTTCGAACAAGCAGAAAGCTCAGTAAAAACTGAAAAAATATTCAATAGGATGAAGATTCTACCCCCATTTACAGCCCAGTAACAAGTCTGATTTGATTTGTCTAATTTCCTAAGGTCAACTTCTCTTTGATAAGTACAGGATACAATTTTCACTAATGTCAGTTCAAAACAAATACTCTTGTTACTTCGGTAAGCTGACCAGGTGTTTAAACAGCAAATACCTGGTCAGGACTACTATTATTGAAGTCCTTTTCTACTACAAAAATAGTTTTATTGTTTAAAATAAAACATAAAATCTAACCTGTTGGCATTTCTGTGGACTTGAATAGTAAAAGACTATGGCTATTATTTTCAAAGGATATATAAAACTGTAACAACATAAAAACATATTTTTGAAATTGAAACGTAATATTGTTTGGAAGTAGAAATAAAATTAATATATGCTGCTGGTGGCTGTCTGGGACTGCCTTTCTCTTGTGGTGCTGCAGTAAATATACAACGTTGATAGGTTTATTTTCTGGCTCTTTGTGGCCAGGAAAAGAAAAATGTAACTTCCCATTTTCCCTGGCCACTGCTGTGAGTTTTAGAAGTGTAATATTCACACTAACCATGTTTTCACATATAGGATAATATCAAAGGATATATTGATATTATGTCTCACTGATCGAGTAATTTATATTATATCTTGGATATATCTTTAGTTATGTGCACATGGAAAAGTTTGAGCAATTCTAAAGATTCTCCTATTTAGCATAATTACAGCTATGTGGTGTTCTGAAATGTCAGTGGGACAGATGGAAAGACAAATGTGGACTACAAAAAAATGGTTGACAAGCTGTCACTGATGCTGGCATGCTTTCCTCTAGTGATGTATACACATTCACTGTGTAATCCAATCTGTCTTCCGGCTTTTTGTTGCCCATAAGGAGAGCCGCAGTGAACTGTGAGAAAGCTGACACCAGTCTTACCTGTGGTTCTTTTTGCAGTCTGATGTGCATTCCCGTGTGGCCTGACAGTGCCCTCTTCTCCACGGCATGGTGCCTGAAGTGATAATAATCTCCAAAAACCTGCACAAACACAGACAAAGAGGCAGTGAATTTACCTGCAGGAATAGCATGGGCAGATAACACTGTTTACAAGAGTACCGGAACAGAGGTGAATGTGCAGAGAATTCAACTCAAACGGCTGTCACACTGAATGCTGACGCAGACTGTCTTTCTCTGTTAGTATTAAAAATAAATTAACTTGTGTTTGTTGATCTAGGAGCATAGGATTTGATTCAAATTATCACATGTAAAGTTCCAACCGGGCATTTACATACTAATGCCATGAGGATGAAGGTTGTATCAATTCATTTATTTACGCCAGCGTTTCTCTTGTCCCCACTCCATTGGAGTTGTATGAATAAGACACAGTCATATTCATAAAACTCCATTAATATTTAGATATATGTTCCTTAGCAAGTTCTAAAGACACCACATGTCTTTATGGCTTGATATTTTACTGCTTCCTTTCAGAAATGCAAGAGGTTTCCGGTAAGCATAGAACATTAATTTTTAATTGTGTTCAGATTTTTTCACCAATCTTATTACTATATAAATTCAAATACATTTCGAAACTGAATTAGGTTTTTGATATAGATTTTTTTATTATGTTGAAAGAGTCAGTTGTTGCTAAAATCACCAAACTGTTGATTTTAGGGACAGTCAAAGAATTACTTATTAGCCTTGGTCTTCAACATTCCATTTATTTTGTGCAATGGACAAAATTGCACAATTTTTTTTTTCAATTGGCAGCAAACCATTCCCACAGCCCCAAAGTACAGTTTTCTTAGGTTTGAAACCTTGACTGGTCCAAAGATATTTTTTTACATTGAGGGCAAATGGATCTTTGCCTCCTCTGACTCACCATTTCAATCATCCTCAAAAGCATAGATTTAGAGAATGACCCTGTTAATCCATGTTGATATTAAACTTGTAATGATACCTGCATCCCACTGTTTTTCAGCTTAGATTTGAGCGTTGATAGTTCCTGGGGTGTTACTGAACATCCTGACAAAAATCCTTTTTGTTGCATGATGACAGTTTGGGGGACGTTGTTAAAACGCAGACTCCTGTTCAAACAGGATGGTTCCAAACACAGGTGAAAACTGAAAGCTGGCTTCTGGAATGAACTTCCCAAAGCTCCAACCTCAAATATAATGGACTAATCCTAAGACTTGGTTCCAGGAAATGGGTGAATTTATAAATTCTACCAATTCTACCAAGATGAATGTTCAAATATCCAGTCAGAATTTGCCAGAACCTTAGTAATGAATAATAAAATGTGGTTTATTGCTGAGATACATTTATTAAGCAGTTGTTTTAGCAATTACTTTGATCCTAAAGAATTTGTGAACTTCTAGCGATTACTTCGATCCTGTGTAATAATAATAAGTCAGTCATACACCTAGTTTTTTTAAAGCATGACATTCATAGCCATGATGAGTGGAAGTTAACTTGTGATTTGAACTATAAATCAACTGATAAAAGAAAAACTGAAGCTAATCCAATTATTTGAAGCCTAATACTTAGGAATTAAAATCTCAGAAAGTGGCACAAATGTCTGTTTAACTACAATTACGACAATATCAATTTATGATGAAAAATTACCTTATTCTTTCTGCACAGGAAGAAATGTAAAGGTATGTAGCTAGCCTGGAAATGAGCTTCCTGTAGAGTAAAAATACAAAACTAGCTCTGAAAAATAACATTCACCACAAATCTGCAGATGGACATAATGAAAACACACATGACCTTCAGAGAAAGAGCTATATAAAAGCTGTCTGGAGCATCCCTAATACTGTTGTCATTGCTCTGCTCATGTCCTGCTCATAAAGGCGCTTTTAGGGACAAGTAATGGGATGACAGCTGTCACCAAACTGGCCTTAAACCTCAGGGGAAGTTTATTTTTCATTAGTCTTGCTGTTAGGTGACACATCAAGCAGCCTGAGGCTCCTCTGCTTGTCATGTCAAGGAGAGCTGTCCTAGGAGAGGCCTAGAGACTAAATAATAAGGACATATAGAAGTTAAGTTGAGTCTAAAGATAAAAATAGCCAAACAAAAGATTAATAATGAAGAAAGATGAGGAACAGCGCAACCACTTGTTGAAAGGATGTATTCACAAGAGAACAGCCACCATTGGAGGATGAGGCATTGTGCCACTGGGGAACAGGCTCACCTTCACTAGCCTAGTGGAGCGAAGGAAGAGAGGAGTGGCAACGGGGGGAAACAAGAGGAAGGAAAGGGAAGCTGGGGGTTGGGGTTGAGGTGTTGCTGGAGGGGACCCAAGGTTTGACAGGCTGAGCTGGTGGGATGGATGTGTGTGAGGAGAAAGAAGAGCAGACGCAGCAGGATATAATGCTCTCCTGGGGCTGCAGGCATATTCTGCAGGCAGCGCTGTCTGCGAGTCACCCAGACTGGAGGCTCCGGCTTAAAGGCCAAACCTGGCAGCAGTAATATAGAGATGGCATCCTCCAGCAAGCCAATTTGAATTCATTTGTTGAATGTTGTGATTAAGAGCTGGTTCTAAATCTCCTGCTATGAGCTTGCATATAAACCAAATTGCTCAGTTTTATACAAAAATGATTGGTCTTTCAATGCATGCAATTATGGGTAGAAATGATGAATAAGACTCCTTCAGTGTTGAGATGGCTTTTTAAAACATCTTCCTGTATTGATGAAAGCATAAGCTAAAAAGAAGATGTAAAAGCTCCTTTAATCATGAAATTAAGAAGAAACGAGTTGAGATTTTGAACCTGAGATGGGCTTTGACTGGTTTCTTTGTCTGGGTCAGCAGGCTACACAATGGGAATACTGCTAACTTGGCAATTGTCCAGATGACAGTTATTGACACCCTCCACAACAAAACATAATTTCTCATGAATCTGGTTGTTCACAGAGTACCTGTGCTGAACCATATTCATAGCAAGTTGAGTGGAAGTAAAAACTGTTGTCAGTGAGGGTGCTGTGAGAGTCAGTGTATCATGAGCCACTATGCACAGACAAATCCCACACATGAGCTACATATGTCATATTTTGGCAAAGTTGCTTCTAGACTATAAATTTGGTCTGTGCATTATGTCTTTTAATGCAAACTGGATTTTTGCTCAGTGGTCCTTGTTTCATATGACGGTAAAATTTGTATCTTATTTGGAAATTGAGGTCCCCGAGTCCAGAGAAAAAGTGGAGAGGTACAGAATCCACCTTGCTTGAAGTCCAGCAGGAAGTCGAGTACAGTTAGTGATTAATATTGGGTGTCATGTCATCTGCTGTTGCTGATCCACTGAGTTTTCTGAATTTCTGAGTCAACACAGTCACCTACCAGAAAATTTCAGAGCATTTCTTGCTTCCTTCAGCTGACAAGCTTCATGGAGATACTGATTTCATTTTCTAGCAGGAATTGACACCTGTCCACACTGCCAAAAGTACCAAAAGCTGGTGTGATGATAGTGTAGTTATTGTGCTCGATTGGCCAGCAATCTCGTCTGACATGTACCCCATGAAGAATCCATGGGGTGTTGTCAAGAGATCTTGTGATTGTCACTTTCAAAGCAACCTGAGCTTTCTTTACACCTCCGCAGAGCCTCTGGCTCCAAACCATGTCTCACTGATGGAGTAATTTATGCAAAAAATGTCCCAAGCAAATATTGAGTGCATAGAAATGAACATATTTTTCATCAGACTAATATGTCTGACATATTGATCAGATGTTACTAAAGATGAGACTCTGAATTTGGAGTTTTTCTTAAATGCATTTTTTTAGTGGCCTTGCCAAAATCCAGACATGTAAGTGATAAAAATGTTTAGGGAGCTAAATATTAGAGGATAATAAGAACTAATTTGCACCTTCTAATACGCTCTCCCTTTTTAAAAGCTTTTGGAAATCTGTACCTTACTGCTTGGGTCAGCTCAGGTTCTCTGCTGGTTTCTGGGTTTTTTTGGAAACATTTTAGCTTTGCATGCTGACAGAATGTGGCAGGTCAGTTTAAAGCAGAAGAAAAAAATTCTGCAATAATGACCGCTTTTAAGAAATACCTAAAGGATCCATACCATTTTCCATGTCATGGTAGTTTGTCTTTAAGAGGCAATGATGCAAAAAGTTACAATGATATTCTGGTTAGAAGTGCCTTTTTATTCTTTCACTCTGCTTTGAATAGACACATTAAAGACCCTAAAGCCATTGTAGTGAAAATTGTAACTCTGAGAGGATTGTGGTTGCTCAGATGAGCTAAAAATAATGTCAATAGAGGAGTGTACTTGTCTGCAAGTCCAATTGGCTCACATGCACAGACCCTGAGAGAAATGTCAAAGTCCTAAGGAGGTTTTTAACATCAAAGACTGGGAGCTTATTGCACAAGCAATAATGGTCAAATAAAGGTGAAAAACACCCAAGTATACAAGCAGAAAGCTTGTCAGCAATTATTAAAAGCATTTGATTGCTCAGACACCGATGATGGCTCTCTCCATGTTGTATAAATATTTTACTATAAGCTAATTCACTTAAAATGGAAATCAATTAAAAAAATTATATATTTCAAAAATGATGTCCTTGAACACTGTTATTTTCTTTCATGAGAAGCCTGTGTCATTTTCAATCAAATACCAACCTCTTGGTACAATTAAAACAATTTTAAATTTAAATTTGCCAGTGGCTTTAATAATTTTGATCTGTGTATTCAAGAACAAATTGCCAGATTTGTTTTTTTTTGTGATCAAGCATTCCACAACTGCTCTAAACTGTTTGTGAATACATTCAACAATCTGGTTGTACCTGTGTCCATGAACCTTGGATATTTTGGGTATTGAGTCACAGGCATGTCAGCATACCTGTAGAAATGTGTGTGAAGATATGGAAGCAGATATCAAATGAAATTAAAGTTAGGAGGGAGGAAAGTCCAAGCCTGGGAGGAGGCTGAAGAGAAAGACACACAGATCGCCCAGCAGCATCAATGGCCAAGACCCAGCAGGTCTCCTGGCTGACCTTACAATGCTCCCTACACACCCACAATATTCATGCAATGCAAAAT